AATAAAAGCACTTTACTTTAAAATTGCAGTTCTCTATGGCAAGATTATGCAAATCACAAGTCCAGCATTGAATACATACTGTACAAAAGCACATACCAGGTGCAGGAGCAGGTTTGGCATTTTGGTTTGCTCCAGCTTTTGCCAGCTTTGGTTTTTTGCCAAAACCTACAGGAGCCTTGAATGGCTGAACCATCTTCCTCTTAATTCCTCTTGCCATTCCACCAGACATAGGCTGGGGGTTATAGTCCATGATACCAGGTCTGCGCATACCACGACCAAACTGCAAAAATTGGGATTTAAATTTAGCACATGAGTAACAAGTTTTTTTCCCCCCCACTCATCTCTTGCTGTACCTGAGAGACAATATTGCATGTCATCTCAAGACAGTAAAAGGGAATTCTAATTTGGAAAATTTTATTTCCAGGAAAAAAACTAAAAATTACAAATTAAACATGCCCCAGAATATAACAAAAATACATGACACATTACAGGTGTTTATTAAAGGTGCAATGCATTTTCCAAAACTACCACCAAAACCAAACCACAAAAAAGATCCATTTAGCAGAACAAAACCCAGACCAACCACCCCACTAGCTTATAGAGTAAAAAAACCTACAGGAACCGTATGCAGGCATGCAGTATCCAAACCTTGCTTCAGAAAAAAAAAAAGCCACCAAAAAACATTTTTGGGCAATAAAAATGCCAACAATGGCTGAAGTTCCATGCACCAACAGCAATAAGGTACCTAGTCCCGTTAGGCTTTTGGGTTGAGACCATATTTGTATGGCACCTGCCCAGCCCCCTTAAAAGCAGATGTCTAAACAGGACAAAAAACAACCCCCCTTTAAAGTTAACAGACTAACGCAGAACAATCTGACAAAGTTTGGGGTTTATACCACCTAAGAAGGTTCCTCCTTACCCAGCATTTTCCACATTCTAGCACTATGGAATACCATGTTCCAATTTAGTCAGTGCCAAAACGTGTTAAAAAGGCAGCCAAACACTAGGACTGGAGTCCAGGGCTGTGACAGTACGCTGCTGTATGGAACAAACAATTGCACATATGAAGTTAAATAGCCTAGAATCATGCTTAACCAAACTCAAAAACCTGTAAAGGGTATACGGTTACGTGAAAAAGAAAGCACACTTAAATTCTATGGTTTTACGCATCAAAGACATACTAAAAATTATATGGTCCTCAACCGGTCTTAGAATTGGGTAAATACAACCGAAGATGACCAGCACATGACATCACACTGTCATTCTACAAACAAAGCCAAAATGGAGAAGCCATGTGAGAAAAAACTAACTACATCTTATGATTCCATGGCTTGTGGAACCACATTTAGCATCAATAACCCAAGTAATCGTTTTCTGTATGACCATCAGTCATCATTCAAGCTGAAGCCTGGACTTTGACATTGCAACACCTTTTATTCTTTCTTTCAGCCATTCCGTAGATTGCTGGTGTGCATTGGATCATGCTCATGCTGCGTGACCCAACTAGTTAGTCTTTTTCTAACTATACTGTCATGAACTTTAATATGCTAACCGAGGCTTGTAGAGTCTGAGATGTAACTTTTGGGTTCTTGCAGTTTGAGCATTGCCCAGTCTGACCTTTGGGTGAATTTGCTGGGATGTCCACTGCTGGGAAGATTGGCAACTGTCTTAAAAAGGAGAATTATGAGGCAAGTGATTTTCACTCAGCCTCAATCTGTGCCGACCTGAGACAATGAAACGGTCACAGGTCGGCTCAGTAGATCGGGAAGTGAGCGAACACATACCGGCGCTCGCTCACTTCTCGATCTATCCCTGCAGAGAGCTGTGATGTCACTCACGGCTCCCTGCAGGGATCCCACCTCAGTTTTATCCTACAGCGCTGACTGGCGGAACGGACACAGCTGGCTCTGCCTCTGGATAGGCAGAGCCAGCTGTCAAACCTGCAGCTGGGTAGATCGACAGCAATGTCGGGATCCTTCCCCGGTGCGGCGCCTCAATATACCGCGAGCTGTAGCTCGCGGTATACTGAGATTTGGGTCACGGGAGAACGATAGCTTGTGTTCTCCCGTGACCCTTAGGAGAACTATAGGGAAAGCCCTCTTTTAAATGTTTCCACTTGACTCAAACCCCCCCCTCACTCCAGAATAATGACCTTGAAAATAATTTGGGAATGGCCTTCCCAAATTGATGGGCAGCAACAACTGCTTCCCCAAGATCATTGCTTATGTCTTGCCTCCTTGGCATTGCGCACGAGCTCCAGACCAACACTGCTAAAACTTCAGCTTTTATAGGGAGGTGATCACTTGCTGATCCATCAATTGAGGGCATTTGATTAGAAGCACCTGGCTGGTAATTTTATAACCTATGGAAGCAGTAAGGGTGCACTTAGTTTTTCCACACATTGCTTCTCCATTTTGGCTTGGTTTTTAAAATAGTGACCCGGTGTAATATGTCATGTGTTTTTCAGAGGTTGTTTAACCCAAACTGTAAGACCTGCTAAGGACCAGATGATTTTTTGGTTTTAATACACAAATCAAAAAGGAGCATTTTCTTTTTCACATAGCTGTATATGGTTTGGGGATATTCCCACAAGTCCATTCTTATCTGCCGACAAAATGTGTTTTACATAATACATTGCACCTTTAACCTACTCAGAACTTCAAAAAGGTCTGTGTGTAACCTTTTGCATTATTTGGTTTCAATCTATAAGAACAAGGAAGACTATATATCCTTGTAGCCACAAAGCATGCTTAATTACACGGTACTTCACAATTTTTCTTTCACAAGAAAAGGATGTACCAAACACTCCCTGTGTGACTTTTAAAGCATAGATTCTTTAAAAGTCAACTTTTAGACTGGGAGCACACACAAGCCTCTAAGCAGATTTGCGATAAAGATGGACATTGTGCCATTTTAAAGTTCTGGGCTTGAAATCATTAAACGTGACTATCAAAAAGAATCTGAAAAGATTCTATACTTACTCCTCCTCTGCCACGGCCTCTGCCTGCTGCTGGTCCTCCAAAAGCACTGTCGTGGTAAGCAGGCATTCCTCTTCCCCGAGAGCCTACTGCTGCAGGCTTCATATAGGGTGAAGAAAAACCGCCGTAGGAAGAGTAATTGTCTCTTCCTCTGTCCTCCATAAACCCAGTCCTCACTTTCGCTCGTGGGAAAGACGGATCCCAGTTGGACCCGCCCTGGTTTCTACCATCATAAGAGTCAACGCTACTCCGGTATGGGTTGTCATATCGGCCATCATAACTATCTCCGTAGCCTTGATCGGATTCATTATAACCATAGCCAGATCTGTACAGATCTCGCCCACCCACAGAAGACCTGGAGTCATAAGACTCATAAGGTCCAAACCTGGAAGAATTGACGTGAGGAGAAAAATAAAATGTAAGCTTACCAGAATTACACAAAGCATCGGTTGACATTTATCAACTTAACATTAAATCTGAGACATACAGTACCTAACATCTGTCTTATGGCAGTGGTGTGCCAATTGTATGGAAAAGAGAAGTGTATATTAAGGTACACACTTTATTAGGGTTTGGGAAATATCAATGGCTTTACACATGCACATTTCGTTTTGCTGATAAAGTTACCATGAAAAGCTGTAAGATTTACCAAAATGGGAAAAAGGCCAATTGAATGGACCAAATAGATCAAAATGTGCAGTTCCTTGTGTTTAACATTTCAACCAAGCTACGTGGCATAATAAAGGCCTGGTTCATTATGTAAGTGACGCGTTACAACGAATTAGGGATTAAACCAAATACGTTAGTTTTGGATAGAGTGTGCAAGTGTTTAAATCCCAGTCAGGTTCATTGCCGTGTCCCACTAGGGAGATTGAAACCTCCCAGACAGGACAGACTTAAGAAGCCTGAATAGTATTAACCTTTCCCAAACTATCCAAAAACACTTTGGCTTTACATGTGTTACAGGCATTTTGTTTCTTGCAATAAGACAGCATAAAGGTCATATCATACATTTACAGAAAAAAGGTGCAAAGACATGAAGATGTAAATGCTATAAATATGAAAATATGGCTAAACTGCCCTGACAACCAACAAAAAGGACAAATATATGAAATTCTGTGACTGTTTTATATTAGGGGTGGGGAACCTCCGGTTGTCCAGCAGTCGAACTACAAATCTCATGATGCATCTGTCTCTGGGAGTCAGTCATGTCTGTGAGAATCTTGCAATGCCTCATTGGATTTGTAGTTTCACCACAGCTGAGGACCAGAGGTTCTCCACCCGTTTTATATTAAAGCTGCCAAAAAAAAGTTAAACTAAACATTCTACTTGAAATTTTGGGTAAATGTTCAGAAGTGCAGGTGACCTGTGGAAGCCGTTTAGGTTTACCCGAGCAAGTCAGGTCCTTGGTAATTCTCCAAAATCATGTAGCTTCAGGGCTGGTGCACACGTAGGCGATCACGCAAAAAACAGATTTGCATTGAAGCCAACGAAGGCTGCTCACATCTTTGCAGTTTGTCACGCAAAATGGTGTAGGAGCTATTTTAGGGCAGTTGTCACGCCGTTTGGATCCTATAGACATCTCTATGCATTGAAAAACATGCAGCATCTGAATCGCATAGGTGTGAACTTAGCCTTAACTGCTACAACTGAACGTTTACCCATTCAAAGCAAACTTAAACCATCTTGCCAACATAACATGATAGAAAGCCATACACTGTTCAGAGATTGCACAATTAGATTGTAGAATCTACTTTAGATTTACCAAAACTATGCAATGAGGACACCCCTAATCAATCCACTGAATTTGAGCAAATTCAAGCTGGTGTCACCTAGTTGATGGTAGATCTAAAGGAGACAAGACAGTGTATGGTCAGCTTAACGGGTAAAGATGTCTGATACTTGCCTATCAGCTGATAGTGACTCCATTCCATTTTAACAGTCTAACTTGGATAAAGGCATCCAAGTGACCAATTAACCTAAATGCTGCCTTTTATACTGGTTAATTTTCCAGATCACAGACCCATAAACCTAGGCACTCTATACATTCCCTCTCAGAACGACTGCCACACAGTGCATTTCCACTTTTGCATCCAAATATGGATATCCATTTAATATTTATGTTCCCATTCACACAGCATAAGCAGAAAAAAAAATGCTTCTTGCAGTTTAAATTGCTTTCGCTTGGGTTAGGGTTTCTGGGCTTCTTGAGTATTAACATTTCTACTACTTATTCTTTTGTAATGCTAAGAGGGGTGAGGGGCTTATCCACTGTGTTAATGAAGCCAATGAGAAAACAACCCACACATTTTTGTCTCTTTGTCTGTCTAAGTCTTTTCTATAAAAAAGGACAAAATCACTGATTGTGCTGAAAAAATACCTGGAATCAGGCATGTTGCCTGATGCAACATCTGATATAAGAAATATTTAAAAAAGTTTCAGAATGATGTGTAAATAGGATCACATAATAAAAGTAGTTCTCACATTTGACTGAGAAAGTGGAAATATACTTTAAAAGCATACATCAGAAGTTCATTCCAACTGCAATGAAGGATGCACAGAGGATGCAAGTGCTCAGATTGAGAGGCAAATATATAGGTAGCATTCTGTTTAAGAGCCCTCAAGTACTTTGGAATCTAGACAAAGGTACATAGCTGCTCTAGATTATGGCCTTTAGGTTCTTGGTTACATAAACACAACTAGGCAAGTGACAGATGTCTATTAAACCATTTAGAACTATAGCAAAAAGGTGAAAGCAACCAAATATGAGTAAATTGGTTGAAAATCAAATGGTTACTATGGCATACATGTGTACAGGTCAATGTGGCCATGAGTTAGACATATTTATAGTACTAGGTTACTTGAAACACCACATTTCTGAATGGAAAATCTGATGTACTACAATTACATGGATGCCCTCAATTAGAAGATAGCTTTTCTTTAAGAGTAAAATCTATATAGTTGCTATGGGTAATTAAGTAACCTGCCACATTGTTTTTGGTATTTTACCAGTAACAAGGACTGTACAAGGCCAGAGAAACATTCAAAATTAGAATGAGACCAACAATTTAAATGCTGAATAAATGTGTAGCTAATACATTGAAGCCTATCCACTGGATGATCTTGCAGGACAATTATAGAAAATAATGCTATGAATAACATGTATATTGTCCCTGATGACACACTTACCTGTCACTGCCACTGTCCATGGTATAGCTGTCCATACTTCTGTCATAGCTCCCATGGCCATATTCACGGACTGCACCTGAAAGCAAGGTGGAACCATCATTTGTATGATACATGATAAAGCCCGATCACCTGTAGTAACAGGAATAAACCACTGACAATGAATGTGTCAAGGAGGGAGTTAATTAGGCCATACACTATACAACCCTCGCAAGACTTTAGTAAAGTAATTAAAAAAACGTATGATCTGCCCATCTTGGATAGGCAGATCGTAGGGGCGGGCTTCCGATGACTGGAATGCTGAACGGGCAGTTCTCTCGATCATGTTAAAAACCGGCCGAAAAGCGTACGATTCTCGGCTGGTTTTCCAACATGCTCGAAATACAAAAGTCGAGTCTTCCACACACTACACGATTCTCGTAGGATCGCGGGATTTCCCGTGATTCTCATACGAGAACCGTGCCGTGTATGGGCACCTTAAGTCTCAAATTTCTAGTAATAACTAACAATAAACACCATTAAAATACAAGATCCCGTAAAATTAGTCTGCGAAAAGAAGCAGACCCAAATCAGACAAGTCCATATAAAATGTGCACAAACAAAATCTTACCTCCAGCCATTGACCAAACTTTTCTACCCGGTACTCCACCGTCCATCATTTTAATAAGCTTCCTGTGGATTTGTTACTTGCTGAAGTCCTAGTTAAAAAAAAAAAAAATTTCCGTCATTACACAAACTAGCATATTCTTTAACCAGTTGACATCCGCGGTGTTAAACCCCCTTCCCATCCAGGCCATTTTTCAGTATTCAGCATAAAAAGAAAGATTTTCCTAGCAAAAAATAAGAATGACAACTTATGTCATGTTTTGATGCCATCAAGAACCCCACCAGAGATATTTACTTTTACTCCCTTCTCTGCTGTTTCACTAGCCCTGGTGAAGAGTAAACCCGATCTAATCACCAAAAATCAAAAAGAAATTCACTTCAACCCTGTATAGGAAGTGATATGTGATAAAAGTGATAAATGCAAATGAGTATGAAACAAGGCAGTACCCCCTAAATTGCTACCAAACTTAGAGATACCTTTCATGTACATTCCCTGGATAGCCAAGTGCAGACAGCTGATCCAGCGCTGGTCATTTCAGCGTAGAGTTTCCCTTAGCCATCTAGGCAATTATAATTAAAAAAAGCCAACCCTCAAACTACCATATTTACTAATGCAAGAATACCATCCTATTGCACTTTCTGGTTCTCATTAACCAACTGAGAAATCTAGCACTGAGTGATGCATTATGGGGAGATAGAGGAGGGTGTCACATTCAGCTCCATAGCAGGAAGTAGCAGATTTATACCATCTCATGAACAGGTTAGCCAGGTGAAGGGAAAAGCTAGCTTGTACTCCTCACTCTGAGCTCTAAAAATGACCATTATTTTAGTATCTTACTTACCCAGTGCATTTCTAAAGTCCTGACCTAGCCCAAAAAAGACAAATCACTTGATACCATGGAGATACCCATTACTAGCATGCATATGGCTGCAATGAGCCTACAGGTTGCACCAGGAAGCACATGCTTGATTTACATGCTGCAAGGAAAGGCCTACAAAAGGATTTGTGTTACAAGCCTTCAAAATATACATTTCCTTATAGGACATTTCTAATGCCAACTAAAGAGACAAAGGGCTGTAGTAACAATGCAATGCCTCCCACCTCGGGAGGCATTGCTGCATAACAGCCGCTATTGAACCCATTCTGACAATTCACCAATCTATACAAAGCAGGGTAGGACAAAAGAGCAGATTGGGACAGACATTGCCCTTATCCTGCAAGCCCCCTCCCCCCTTCCAAATCAGAAGTAACCATTTAAACTGCTACCAACTAGAACTATTATATGTAAATGATCAAAAAGAAGCAATAGAAAGACAGATTTACAAACAGCGATGCTGAATTCACCCAATACGCCTTCTCCCAGCACAGATTCAGAACACTCCCATCAATACACAAAAGGCAGCAGATTGCTCAACCCTCTATACACCAAGACAAAGCACAGAGACTGCTCAGATAAAACGTGGAAGACAAAAATCACCAATGCAACAGTAGATAAATGCATTTACATCACTACATGCAAGTTTTGGACAATCCTTTTAAGACAATACATATACCCAACCAGGACTGCATTGGTGGGATATATTGTTACCTGCTTTGTGAACAGAGACAAAAAGAGAAAAAGGGATAAAGGATTCCTCCGATATGCATTGGGACTGGACCAACAGGGGGTGGGGAGAGTGTAAAGCTGTAGCAGATGCACATAGCAACCACTTTCTCTTCAGTGTACTCTTAAAAATGAAAGGTGGAAGCTGAAGGGTTGCTACGGGCAACTGCTCCAGCTTTGATATATTCACCTCAGGGTGTATGTAAAGCTCTCAACAGCCAGGCCAACAATCACATGACATAGTGACCTTGTGATCTAGTGCGGCCGCCATCACATACGAAGCCTGGAGGAGCTGTGCATGGCAGCCAATCAGCTGTCTTATTATCATCTTACCTGAACAAACTGGAGAAGTGTAAGTTTAAGCGTGAACGAGGCCTACTTGTTACAATCTGATCTACCAATGTAATATGACAACCTATTAGTACCCAACTAGGCCCAGCACTATATGGGTGGGAGATCTAAAAAGGAGTCTACTTGGGGAAACAATGCCAAGAGGTCACACGGCCATGGTATATTAAATATATGTTTAATTAAACACATACCTAGAGACCCAATTTCTCATCCCAAAAAACGAAGGCTCAGCTCACAGTGCACAGCAGATAAGGATTGTTATATACATTAATGTTACTGCCAGCCTGGACAAATGCACAGAAAATCAGTCACGTGACTAAATATACCCGTGCTAAAGGTTTGTGAATTAGAGAAATATAAATCTAGAACAATTTCCTCTTCTGCTACAATAGGCGCTCCATAACTCTAGCACACAAACGGAGGGCGGCCCTCTTACAAACATGCCCGCACGATGCCGGCCCTACAACCACCACATAGCGCGCGAAACGAACAAAGGAGCGGCCCACCGCCATGTTGGCCAGAACCCCGCCATCCCTCCGAGCCCTGATGAACAGGCACCGCGTACCGTACACGTCCCGCCACCTCACCTGAATCAATATACGAACGGGCCGACCAAACTCCTACGAAACCGAGCACTCCAAAAGCCGTCTCTACCTCGCTGGTTGCCTGCCACAAAATGGAGACCCGTCTTCCTCTTGTGTGCTGCAGAAATGGATGCCGCGGTGTGTGATGTCACTGCTACACGCCCTCTTCACAACGGGCTGTGATTGAATGTCCGCTTCACGTGACCCGCCCACTTGTTCTTCGGAATGTTATTGGAGGCCGCCCTAGCCGAGGCCCCGCCCACCACCGCTTTGTTCTTCGCGCAGGGATACGGGCACCCCAGTCAGTGTGTAGTTCCGGTGTTCTATCGAAAGTTCCAACTCTTCGAGATCTAGAACACCGGCGGTTATCGTTGGCTGCAATTATATAAAGGGGGCGGCGTATGTGAACTAACCAGACGCCCAATGTAAATTTATAAAGTAAATAATGTAAAAAACATTTCAGGAGCAACCAATGGGAAAGGGGCAACTTCACTGGGCGCTCTTTTGAGGGTGTAGATTAGGCAATTAGATACTCCAGCTAATGTGTAACTACAAATCCCATCATGCCTCTGTTTCTGGGAGTCATGCCTTTTACTGTAAGAGTCTTGCAATGCCTCATGGGACTTGTAGTTCCGCAACAGCTGAGATTTCATTCATCTTGGCATTTGCAAAAACTGTACGCTGGGTTGCACATACATTATCCAGATTGTGAACAGGCAGCTAAGAATCTTTTATTGCTGATAAGGCATAGAATTTATCAAAACTGGAGCAGTTGCCCAAAACAACCAATCAGATTCTTCATTTCATTTTGAAAGCTTAAAGGGTTATTAAACCCTCATTTGTGTTTGCATATATCTACGGCTGGCAAGTAGTAGATAGATGCAAAACTATTTTTTTTTTTAACTTTTTCAAAGGGTAAAACTTACCTGTGTCTTCCCTGCACGCTCCCGTCGGAACATCTGAAGAGTCTCGGGCGGCCGCAAAGGATCTTGGGGGCGGGCGGATGGCAGTTCAGATTTTCGTTGACAACAGCATGTGTTTACATGCAGGCAGCCATCTTGGTGATGGATGCCAGCCGGTAAGCAAGTTCTCGTGTCATTACGCGGGTGCGCAATGACGTCCCAGCGGGGGTGTCACCTGGTGGCCGCTCCAGGTGACACCATGCCTCGGGACACCCCTGCCTTATCTTTTTGCAGGTATCTTCACCCAGGTCCAATTATATCACAGTTCTTCTTACTCTGGTGGTGGGCAGATACTGAATGCTGGAAGGAGCCTCCACACCCTGGGCTCACAGAATGACGCTGGGCGCCATTTAACCCCCATTCACACTTGAGCGTTTTCAGATGATTTTGATGTATTTTTTTCAGGCCTTTTCGGACTTCATCATTTGATTTATTTTTAGGCCAGCAGTCGCCAACATTTTGGACCTCATGGACCACTAAATTCATCATTTTAAATCCCAACACTCTACTGAGAGCCGCGCATTCCTTGTGACAGCCGTTGCTTGAGTCAGTGAGAGGCGGCCCCAGAGCCTCCGTGCCGCTTCAATGACGGCCCAGCCTGCACGGCATCAGAGGGGCCCGGGGACCACCAAAAATTTTTCGCGGACCACCGGTTGGCGACCGCTGTTTTAGGCGATGGGAAGAAAGTTACTAGTAGGTCCAGATGGTTCTTAGGTGCAAAAGCATGTGAAAAACACACATTACACATTTGTTAGGTTCTCCTATTGACATTTAAGAGGCCAAAATGCACAATTCAGGCCACAAAAACCTGTCAAATGACGAGCACAGGTGGGAATGGGCACCACTGAGAATAATAGAATTCTTCACGCCGAACGTAGCCACTTTTTGGGAAACGCACAACGAAAGTGCTCAGGTGCGAATGGGAGCTTAATCCTGAATAGGAGCCGTAGCACTGGTTTGACTGCACCAATTTTCAGAAGCTGAAGGGTTTCAAGTAAATTACTTTTCACCCAAGGTAGCATTGGGCTTTAAAGATGCAGAGGGTGGGGGGAAAGAATGGGAATATAAATGTATGCAGACAATGGCGTGGTGGTTAGCGCTTCTGCCTTGCATCACTGGGGGTCCCTGGTTCAAATCCCAGCCAGGTAACTATCTGCAAGGAGTTTGCATGTTCTCCCTGTGCTTGCGTGGGTTTCCTCCAGGTACTCCGGTTTCCTCCCACACTCCATGCTGGAAGGTTAATTGGCTCCAGTCTAAATTTTATGTGAGATAGGGACCTTAGATTGTAAGCGTCTTGAGGGCAGGGACTGATGTGCATGTGCAACTGTGTAAAATATATATAAATACCTGTAATACATTTATAATAATGCACATTGGCATAAAGTATGGTGGAAAGAGTTTGATGTGTTGCTGATCTGTCATCTTTGTGTGGCTCAGCCCTTCTCAGCCAGGATGCCATGGCACTCTGTGGTGCCTCCTGGCATTATCAGGGGTGTCTTCAAATGTTTTGTTAAAGGGG